GAGTCCGATTAGTTAATTTGCTCTGGGCGTTTAGATCATGCAGGAACTGTTGTTTCCTAACGTGATCAGAATGGCGTTGTCACCCTATTCACTGTGGACAACGGTAAGTGACCTGGCTATTTCTCGCTGACTTTGATCGCTCTCTCATCGTCCAACTAATCGATCTTGTGAAAATAACGATTATTTCCCGCGAAACTTTGTGGTATAACCTTTTTATATTCTGTGGTCTGTACCAAGTTATACATGCGGTTTGTTTGCATATGACGTCATGGAGACGGTTGATTTGTATTCTCTGGGGGTGTCTGTTACATATTAGTAGGTGGATGTGTAAGTTTGTTTTAAAAAGATAGATTTCAAGTATCTGTGTCGTTTATATATTTAAATTTCAAAGCCCGATTTTCACATGTAAACTATACAACTTAATAAATGTTCATATTATGTACTGAAAGAGAATTAGTCACAAATCTCAATAAACATAGTAATTATGAGCAATATTTAAAATGCTAAAGCAATACGAAACCAATACCAATCAGCCATGAAATTCTCTGTAGAAAGTTGTACACAGATTCTCACTTTTCTAAACTTACTTGTGAGAGACATGAGAAAGAAAGCATGAACATTAACCACAAGTTTGTGCATCAGTCTTTAGTAGCAAAGATGAATTCTATATTATAACTTTAGCCAAGACTCTTGAGAATATAACGTACGACTCGAAACATGCTAAGACTATGGAATTATACGAAATTGACAAACAACAGTTACAAACATAATAAAGGGGCTTTTTTTTGGGGTGGGGGACAAGTTAACAGAAATATAAACCACTTCATTTTGCTTATAATCGTTGTTTGTCAACTTATTATTATTATTAATATATTAGCGTAACAAGACATGCACAACAAGACTATGGAATACTAATAAAACAATGCAATACCAAGCGAATTAGAAGACACCAAAGGCTTGTTATTTCATTTTCTCGGTTGATGGTTGATAAGACAATATACTGAGATAATTTTAAACTTTTAGAATTATAAATGAAATATAATAGCTTCTCATGGAGTTTCAAAACTACGCGCAAAGTTCCAGTATTTTAGTCAAACTTTCTTGAACAAATGATAAAACGAAGTACCAATTTCTCGATCCATTTCCATACGACACCTTGTACGTGTTTAGTACAAAATAGTTGATTTTCTAACGACAGAATTGCCGCTTTTTCTGCTCGGTTCTCAAAGAAAATACAAAGAATGCGATGGATGATAAATTTCTTAATCGTTTCGTGTCTGAGACGTCTGATTATCAGCTTTACCCAACGTAGTACCAGGACTTATATGTGGTCCCTAGTCCAGGATGAGATTCATGGCTTTGGTGACAGAATAAAGCATGGTACTAATAATCTTATTAGAAGATAACATTGGGAACTCTACAAAATTGGCAGGTTAGAATTGCCCCAAAAGTAACCTGTAAAAGATACGATCATAATGTAATTAGATTTAATTGTACATTTTATGACTCATTTTTTGATCTTGGAATATTCCAGTTTAAATGATATCCAAATTAAAGTTTAATTTCTTCTGGAACATGAATAATTATTGAAAACATCAGTTTCGTCCAATCTCAAAGCACTTAATTTATACGCTTACATTCAAAGAGAAATTACAAATCATGCACAAATTAATGTTACATTTACACTTTCTTTTTACGCTTTCAAAGATTACCATTTTAATGTATCACTAAGACTATTATAGAAAACCAGTAATCTCCCAATTGTTTTTAAGGCATAAAAACATACATACACTTTATACAAAATTTTATGTGTTTTCTGATTTCTTAAACATTATACTTTATGAAGATAAGCACATTCCTGACGTGGGTAGGAACATATGAGTTGGGTGAATATTACTTCTTTACACCTTCTCGTAAGTTTTTCAGCGATTTTCATTCATACAAAATTTGTGAGGTTTGTCATTCTCTAAAACTTCTAAGATCGCTATGGCTCATGCAACGTTTGTTTTGTACTATTTTTTCATCAATTCTCTGCTTTGATATTTCTGCCATGAGTAATTAGATATTTTATAAAATAGGATACAGACATACTGCATCTGTATTAGTAGGCAATGTACTACCTTAGGTAGGCGGTAAACGTTTTTTGATGACACGATAATGGGTTGAGTACTTTATTTTAAAACGATTTTGGAGTCTCACTATGTCGTCACAGTCCATGTCGCGACGTTTGGTAGCATTCTATCTGACGACCATCTTAACAATAGCCCTGCAGCGTAATTTCTTTTTCAAAGGTCTCTGTCATAAGGTTGTCCTATCCAAAACATACCACTTTTCCCTGCAGGCTTTCCATAATCTACGTTCTGTACAACGAAGGCGATTTCCCAGCGTTCATTTAAATAGTTCGATTGCACCGAAATTAACAGCCGCTGCGTACGGCGACGGGGGAGGTATTTCTACATACAGAATAGTGTGTATGCCCGTTTCATTTTACAGCTACCTTAAGTATGAACGAAAGATGACTGGAAGTCTTATCTTGGTGCACCCATACCTTGTTGGCCTCGTTATTGAAAACGTTGATTGTGATTGCCTGGGCTTTTACCACTGACCTTTGAGTTCGTAGATTCTCAGTTGTTACAAGACACCAAACTGTGCTAACTATGGCTAGGGCCTGACTTGTTACAGTTTCTTTCTATATGGTCCTAGTGCCACAAATTGATTCATATTCCTTTGTTTTCTAATGCCATTAAGCCAAAGGTATATCCCCTTCTTGGAAATTCAAAATCTTCGATATGAAAACACCTTTATGATCTGAGTGTATGCATATTTTTCGTTATATTTTCTGTGGCATCGCATTACCTATAAAATACCAAACGATGTCAAAATATGGTTCTGAAACACTTTGTATCACCGCGGCTTTATATCGGCTGTGATTGTCATGCGACTAGCTGATTTGCGTGTTTATAATCGTTTTAATATAAGTACTCACCCTTGTATGGTTAAAGGTTCTTGACAAAAATAAACTAAATATGCAAACAATGAAGCACTTAATTATAATAAAAAAACGTATATGAATAAACAGTTTTACAATTTGTCTTTTGTCCTTTAAAAATCACAGCATGAAATAATAAAGTTTTATTCATTCAAAGTCAACTGTTTTCCTCCAATAAGGGTCGGAACTTTTCTAGGTTTGTTTTTACAACGGTATTTGGCACTTTTGAATTGTGTTTTTCGACCAGGTCAGAAACACTAAGGTACATGCACGGTCATCTCTAGTTTAGAAATGCTAACTACAGTGATGGGAACCAATGAATAGCACCCTCCGCCTACACGGCTAATCTTAACTGAATAGCGATATTGATTTTCATTAATAACCCAACATCTGAAGGTGAGAAGCACGAATCTTGGACTTTATGATCCGCAATCCGGGCAATTAACCACATGTCACGCCAAGCCCATTTTTCTGATGATAGTGGGAAACAGAGTTTTTAACCTAAACAGAATTTTATGCAACACATGGTCTAAACGGCCATATGGGAGATATTTAATACCATCTTTTCTTTCATGCTATACAATTGCAGTAGACAACAACAATGAATTTCTGAAGACAGAATACATTACAAATTAAGCCTAATTAAGGGAATGATTTTCACTTTTATAACACGCTACAGCTTTAAGTGTAGAGCGTATTGCGGCTCGAACCATCAGCATTTCTATCCGCAGCCCTAAACGATAACCTTGAGGCCACTCCAAGCCCCTTGATTCATCTAAACATCTCTTTAATTGCTTTTAATAGCAAAATATCTTTGTCACACATCCATAACATGTTTCTTCTCACTAGCGGTTATTATGAATAGACACATTTTAAACAGAAAAACGATTCAGCTGTTGCTAATTTTAATCAATGTGATACACACTAGTTAGATAGGTACGGATAGGGTCAAGTTTGTGTTAAATTACTAGGTTCAGTCTACCTATCAAAGTTTTATCCAAATAGATATTGAGAAATGCATTTTATTTCCGCAGATGATGTTAAATAACAGTTTTTTTTGTTTTGTTTTTTTACACAATAAACACACCAATTAAAGAGAGTAATATATGAAAAGAGAAACCACACGTTACACAATGCTCCAAATCTCACGACTGTTCTTGCTTTAAGAATGCTGAAATCAATCACTTATCATAAATATAGCTCAAAATTTGTTTTATTCCTTCAATCGAGCCACCTCACAGACCATTCTTGACAAGACCTTATGTCAATACTCGTTTTAGTTTTTGGATTCATATATTTAGCTTGTGAAATGTATTTTACACTGTGGTAATCCTTTTTCTTTACTGCAGTAGTGGGAGATGTTAAAAATGTTTTTTTACTGGACTCTGTATCTAAGCCAAAATTGTTGAACGCCTGGCGAGTGTTCTACCAACTGAGCTAAAGGTTTAACCAAGCTGGAGTGTTAGAACGGAATAAAAAAAATAAAATATAATTTACAAGCTAAACGAATGAAGCCAATAAATAAAACTAGTGGTAACATAAAATTATATTTCTGATGTATCCTCGGTCAGTCACCGAAAAAAAGATCCTAACTTGCACAAAATTGGTAACTGCGAAAATATTTCTAAAGTGCAGTTAACTTTCTTTGAACAGACAATTTTTTGATAATTTTTACAAAACTTTTTTTTTCACGTTAAAGCTAATGATTATATTAAGTAGATATAGCTAATACTAACTACATATGAACACGTTTTTTACCTATTCGTCCCCCCAAAAACGAGTGCCACGTTTAAAAAGATCATGCCTAAGTAGGTTGAAATGCTCTGGCTGCCACTTGGTGACTGATCTCCTGAAACAATAAATAAAAACAAAAATTTGATATATAGGGTACATTCTAAATGGTTAACTAACATAAATGTGACGGATTTACTATTCTATATATATTTTATATCGATGTTTGTTTGAGTTAAATTTATATTTAGAAATGTACACAACTTATACTGTTACATCTGTATTGCAAAATTCCTGCCTATTCATTAAAATTGTAGAAAATTCTCGAGTGTAAGAATCAACAATATATGTGTGTACGTAAACACTAGTGTAGCGTTCATTTTGTTGCGTAAGCTGAAATTTCGAGAAACTCTCCTCAAGCCTATAAACATACTCAACGAGATGCGCCAAAAGACAGTACATATTATTGAGTTGCTATAGTTTGTATACTCTAAACCTCGGAAGCTATAACTGTGATTGTTATAACATTTATTAATCGGGAAACTTCAGCTATTTCACCAGGAACGTTTATAGATTTCGAATATTACAAACCATTTAACTTCAGCGAATTCACATCAGACATTAGTATTTTTACGAAAACATTATATAACTTCAGCGGTGGACAACTCGTATGTGGCGGGTGAAGAACGAGGGAACACAGTGATAGCTAGCTCCCTGTTAAGTGAATTGTATCTACATTGTTCATCGTGAACCCTCGATATAATATCAAGGAAGTTCCAGACCAGGTAGAGGACTCAATATTGATTGTAAGTTTGTAAAACTTTTGTATATAGATCATTATTTGTAATAACCATTATTGTAATGGTTATAATAACCATTTAAAAAAAAACAACTGTGTATCAATATATCAATCTTGTTGACAAGTGTCATAAATTGGATATATATCGACATTTATTTAATATCTAAATCTAAATTATC